CACCATGCCCGGCTAATTTTTTTGTATTTTTTAGTGGAGAGGGGGTTTCAGTATGTTAGCCAGGATGGTTTCAACCTCCTGACCTCGTGATCCCCCCGCCTTGGGCTCCCAAAGTGCTGGGATTACAGGTGTGAGCCATTGCGCCCGGCCTCCCATTTTTCTTTAAACCTAAAACTGGTCTAAAAAATTAATTTCATATTTTTTTTCATGAGAATGTGGAACAACTGGAACCACATACTCTGCTGCTGGGAGTGTAAATAGTGCCCCTATTAAGAAAAAGTCAGGAAACATCGGTATGAATATTACTGGAGATTGGGAAAATGCTGGAAGAGACCATGAAAAGAGTTAAAAATTGTTGCCAATTGGGGGTGGAAATTGGGAGGGAAGAGGCAGGAAGCTAGTTTTAAAAATCAACTTTAGGCCGGGTGTGGTGGCTCACACCTGTAATCCCAGCACTTTGGGAGGCCGAGGCAGGTGGATCACCTGAGGTCAGGAGTTCGAGACCAGCCTAGTCAACATGGTGAAACCTCGTCTCTACTAAAAATACAAAAGTAGCCGGGCGTGGTGGTGGGCATCTGTAATCCTAGCTACTCGGGAGGCTAAGGCAGGGGAATCACTTGAACCCGAAGGCAGAGGTTGCCGTGAACCAAGATTGCACCACTGACCTCCAGACTGGGCAACAAGAGCAAAACTCTCTCTCAAAACAACAACAAACAACAAAAAAACCCAACTTTATTGAGATCTAGTTTACATTTGCCAAAACGAACACTTTTTAAATTTTTTTTGAGATGGAGTCTTGCACTGTCGCCCAGGCTGGAGTGCAGCGGTGCAATCTCGGCTCACTGCAACCTCTGCCTCCTGGGTTCCATCGATTCTCCTGCCTCAGCCTCCCCAGTAACTGGGACTACAGGTGTGCACCACCACACCCGGCTAATTTTTGTATTTTTTAGTAGAGACGGGGTTTCACCATATCGGCCAGGCTGGTCTCGAACTCCTGACCTCATGATCCGCCTGCCTCGGCCTCCCAAAGTGCTGGGATTACAGGCGTGAGCCACCAAGCCCGGCCCAAAATGCACACTTGTAAGTGTGCAGTTTGATGAGTTTTCACAGTGTGTGCATCCACCCAGGCCCACCTCACTAGCAGAACCCTGTGACAGTGATTCAGCCCTTAGGGCACCTGCCGGGAGAGAAGAGTTAGAAGCAGGAACTTCTTCCAGTTGCCTTATTTGCAGAGGAGAAGGCTGAGGCCCAGAGATCACTCGTCCAAGACCACCCCTGGCTTAGCCAGAGTCCACACTGAAACCCACCATTCTCAGCTGTTTTCTTGTCATTGTGCAAAGCCACTTACTTGCCAAGAAGGTAGTGACTGCCCCATTGAAGAGCAAGGGGAAGCAGTGCAGGCTTTTGAGCAGGGGAGCAACGTGAAGAAAGTAGCCTGTTCTCATTCTGAAGGCCTCCTGTATCTGAACCACCTCCGAGTCTGTTGCTATTAAGTGCTTTTTCTCTTGGTTTTCAGTGATCTAGTCCCTCCATCTTTTTTTTTTTTTTTTTTGGAGACCGAGTCTTACTCTATCCCCCAGGCTGGAGTGCAGTGGCACGATCTTGGCTCACTGCAACCTCTGTCTCCCAGTTTCAGGTGATTCTCCTGTCTCAGCCTCCTGAGTAGCAGAGACTACAGGCGTGTGCCACCATGCCTGGCTAATTTTTGTAGTTTTAGTAAAGAAAGGGTTTCATCATGTTGGCTAGGTTGGTCTCCAACTCCCATCCTCAGGTGATCCACCAGACTTGGCCTCCGAATGTGCTGCGATTACAGGTGTGGGCCGCCGTGCCCTGCCCTTCCCACATTTTTGAGACGGGGTCTTGCATGTGTTGTCCAGGTTGGAGTGCAGTGGTGTGATCGTGGTTCACTGAGCCTCAAACTCTTGGCCTCAAACACTCCTCCCACCTCAGCCTTCAGAGAGCGGGAGTACAGGTGTGCACCACCATGCCCAGCTATTGTTTTCATTCTTTGTAGAGATGGGTTCCCACTGTGTTACCCAAGCTGGTCTCGAACTCCTGCCCTCAAATGATTTTCCCACCTTGGCCTCCTAAAGTGCTGGGATTATGGGCATTAGCCACCATGTCTGGTGATCTGGTCCCTTCTTTTTTATTTTTTTCTTTTTTGAGACAAGGTCTCACTCTGTTGCCCAAGCTGGAGTGCAGTGGCATGAACAGGGTTCACTGCAGCCTCCACCCCCTGAGCTCAAGTGACCCTCCCACCTCAGCCTCCCTTGTACCTGGGACTACAGGCATGCGCCAGCACTCCTGGCTTCTGATCCCTTTTAAGAGCATGCCTTGGCCGGGCACGGTGGCTCACGCCAGTAATCCCAGCACTTTGGGAGGCCGAGGTGGGCGGATCACGAGGTCAAGAGATCGAGACCATTCTGGCCAACATGGTGAAACCCCGTCTCTACTAAAAAAAAAAAAAAAAAAAAAGAGAGAAAATACAAAAATTAGCTGGGTGTGGTGGCAGGCGCCTGTAGTCCCAGCTACTCGGGAGGCTGAGGGCAGGAGAATCGGTTGAACACGGGAGGCGGAGCTTGCAGTGAGCCAAGATCACGCCACTGCTCTCCAGCCTGAGCAACAGAGCAAGACTCCATTCTCCCCCCTGCCCCCCCAAAAAATCAAATAATAGAGCATGCCTTGTGCTATGGTTTGAATGTTTCTCCCAGACTTTATGTGTTGGGAACTTAACCTCCACAATTATATGCTTTTGGAGGTAATTAGGATTGGATGAGGTCATCAGAGTGGGCCCCCATGATGGGACTAGTGGCCTCATAACAAGAGGGACAGGCCAGGCACGGTGGCTCACGCCTGTAATCCCAGCACTTTGGGAGGCAAGGTGGGCGGATCATGAGGTCAGGAGTTCGAGACCAGCCTGACCAATATGACAAAACCCCGTCTGTACTAAAAATACAAAAATTAGCTGGGTGTGGTGGCAGGTGCCTGTAATCCCAGCTACTTGGGAGGCGGAAGCAGGAAAATCACTTGAACCTGGGAGGCAGAGGTTGCAGTGACCCGAGATGGCATCACTGCACTCCAATCTGGGTGACAGAGCGAGACTCTGTCTCAAAAAAAAAAAAAAAAAAAAGAAGAGAAAGAGAGACTTGAGCTGGTGTGCTCTTGCCCTGTCACCATGTGATGCCCTCTGTTGTGTTATGATTCGAGGAGAAGCTCTCCAGATGCCAGCACTATGCTCTTGGACTTCCAGCCTCCGTAACTGTAAGAAACAAACCTCTCTTCTCTATAAATTACCCACTCTTAGATATAGCCACAGAAAACAGACTAAGACACCTTGCAACTTCGCGTGTGTGTGCTGTGATTACAGGCATGAGCCATCGCGCCCAGGTTGGCCCTGTCCAGACTTGATTTGGGGGTTACAGCCCTTGTTCCCGGGGAGTGGAATGTCCGTGCTCCCAAGGGAAAGCCTGTGAGGGTCACCAGCCCCCGCCCCCCACAGGGTTTGGTCTCCAGCCCGTGGCAGCTGCCAACGCCTCTGCTTGGCTCTCCATCCTCCCGGGAGCCTTTTCTGTTGGGTTTCTTGCAGTTTCTTAGGGCATATTCAGCTTAGGGGGTGGCCATGGCCTGAAGGGGATTTGCACTCAGGGCTTTGGGCTCTTTCTCCAAGTTCCCTCAGGCCCCAGCAGGTTTGGAGCCTCAAACTCTAATCCCTGTTTCTCAGCTCGGCAAGGCTGTGCTTTCTGCTTTCGGACCTCGATGCCAATGTGGGAAGATGCTCCACGAGGAAAACCAGGGTGCACGTGGGCTCCCTTTCTTGTTTACGTTCGCTCAAGGGTCATAGCTCTGGGCCCTGCCAGCTCTGGTTACTCCCCACAGGCCCCGTTACATGCGTGTATCACAGCCTGTGTGTCCAGCCTGTGTCCATGTCTTCAGCGGGAGGGCAAGCGTTGGACCAGCAGTTCTGTCTGAAAGCGTTTTACGGATAGCCCTTGCTATTTCCTCAAAGGGCCACCAGAGGGCACTCCCACTCAGCCCGGCCGCTGTTCCCGGGGGGAAGAGGGGATGGAGGGTGTGGGGGGTGTGGGGTGGAGGTGGGGGTGGTCCCGGGCCCTGGACAGCAAGTGAAACCTGCAGGAAGCCCTGCCTGTTCTGTGTGGGACCCCCACTTCCATCGTGGCCCCCACCACAGATGCAGCAAGTGCACTCCAGTCCCCGTCCCAGCCTCTGGAGGGGTGCCGGCTCTGACCCCTTCTGGCCCCCTGCCTTTCCCTCGAGATGTCCATGGGCCCCCAACTCTTTGACGAGGTCTCAGACACCCCAGGGAGGCCGGGGAAAGGATTCCCGGGGCAGCTGAGCCTGAGGCTGGGGGCTTTTCTGTTGTTTCCACAGCCCCAGGGCCTGACACCGTGGGACCTCTGCAGGCTGGCTGGGGTGAATGAATGATTGATTGATTGATGAATGAATGAATGAATGTCAGTTCAGCTCCTATTTCACCGCCTGGAATTTACTAGGGGCCTGGAATTTCTTTCCACCTCTCTCTCTCTCTCTCTTTCTCTGTGTGTGTGTATATATATAATTTTTTTTTAAACGGTCTTGCTCTGTTGCCCAGGCTGCAGTGCAGTGGTGCAATCTCTGCTCACTGCAGCCGTCAACTCCCAGGCTCAGGTGATCCTCCTGCCTTAGCTTCCTGAGTAGCTGGGCTACAGGTGTGCACCACCATACCTGGCTAATTTTATTTTAATTTTAATTTTTTGTACAGACAGAGTCTTTGGCCTCCCAAAGTGCTTGGATTACAGGCATGAGCCACATGCCCGGTCCCATGGCCACAATCTTTTTTTTTTTTTTTGAGATGTAGTCTTGCTCTGACGCCTAGGCTGGAGTGCAGTAGTACAATCTTGGCTCATTGCAAATTCTGCCTCCCAGGTTCGAGTGATTCTTGTGCCTCTGTCTCCGGAGTAGCTGGGATTACAGGTGTGTGCCACCATGCCCAGATAATTTTTGTATTTTTAGTACAGACAGGGTTTCACCGTGTTGGCCAGGCTGGTCTCAAACTCCTGACCTCAAGTGACTGCCCGCCTCAGCCTCCCACAGTGCTGGGATTACAGGCATGAACCTGCCCCATGGTCACAATTTAAGTACCCTTCTGCACCCTGAAGCTCTGCCCTGGTCACCCACAGAGCCCACATGGACCAGAGTGCCGCGCTGTGGTTCAGCCAGCGGCCTCTCCTGGCTGGCCACTAGCGAAGCCCCTCCTGTAAAACCAGGAAATGGTGGCAGCCCATCCCTGAGCTGGCCCCAGTGAGCCGGCTGGCAGGAATTCATGCCCCTTCAATGGGGGCCGGCCCTGTGATCGCTGGAGCTAACAGAATGCTGGGGAAATGGAGCCGCACTTTAATGAGGCATCTGCATGTTGCTTCTGCTCCTGGGAGGTTCTCTCTGCCATGTGAAAGTCTGGCCACAGTGCTGGAGAGACCAAGGCCCTGAGGTCCCGAGGCTGCATGGAGAGCAAGAGACCCAGGCATCCAGGAACTCATCCCATGGAGAAGAACCATCCAGCTGAGCCCAGCTAGAAACGTGAGAGAGGAGAGAACTGCAGCTGTTTTGAGCCACGGCATTTCGAGGGGGTTGGAAACGTAGCAGCAAAACCACAGCAAACAGTGGTGCCTTTGGCCCCAGAGCTCCTCACTCACACCCTGACCCAGCCTCTGCTAATGAGTCACCCCCTGAATACAGCTCTATGCAAACCAGCCTGTCCCTGCCAGGGCTCCTCACTCACACCCGGACCCAAGCTCTGCTAATGAGTTACTCCCTAAATACAGCTCTATGCAAATCAGCCTGTCCCTGCATCTCCACACTGACAACTTCAGACCTCTGCCCGCGTCTTCTTTCAGGAAACTATCGCCTGTGCTTCCAGGAGGATGTCCCATCCCATCTAGCTAGAATTAAGCAGGCAGAGGAACTCCGAAGGACTGGACTGGCTGAGTCTTCCAGACTCCATCTTTCTTCCATGCTGGGCGCTTCCTGCCCTCAAACATCAGACTCAAAGTGCTTCAGCTTTTGGGCTCTGGGACCTACACCGGTGGTTTCCCAGGGGCTCTAGGGCCTACACCAGTGGTTTCTCAAGGGCTGTTCGGCCACAGACTGAAGGCTGCACTGTTGCTTCCCTACTTTTGAGGTTTTGGGACTTGGACCAGCTTCCAGGCTCCTCAGCTTGCAGACGGCCTATTGTGGGACTTCACCTCATGATCGGTGAGTCAATACTCCCAATAAACTCCCCTCCATGTCTACATCTATCCTATTAGTGCTGTCCCTCTAGAGAACCCTGACTCATACACTGGGGTGATGTCAATGCTGCTGTGACTGTCATTTTCTTGTTCTAGAGAAACAATGAACCCACTGAGACAAAGGGTGGGGGAGGAAAGGCCCGGAGTGGGGCTGAAGACACAGGTTCCAGGCCCAGCTCTGCTGCTTTCAGATGAGGGTTCTCCTCTGTTGAGCGGGTACAATCATAGGGCCCTACTCTTGAGCTTGCCATGTGGGTTGACTGTGGCAGTCCACATACAAACACTCAGCATGGTGCCTGGCATGCAGACAGGATTCCATAAATCTTGGTCTTCATAGAAGTTTCCATTTCTTACCACCAAGCACTTCATGACCCCTTTGGGCAAATGACTTCCCTCTCTGGACCCCCGTGTCCACTTCCACGTGGTGGCGGGCTCAGGACAGATGGCTTTGTAGCTCCATCCCATGCCATTTCATTAGCTCCACCCGTGCCATTTCATTCCATTCTCTTCTTTAGCTTCTCCGTGCCTTGGCTTCCCTGTTGGGGTGATTTCAGCACCACAGGGAGGACAGCAGTCTGGGAGCTGTCCATGGAGCTGAAGTCACCAGAGGGCACCTGGTGGAGAAGGCGGGGTGGGGCTGGAGGTAGGGGTGCGAGGGAAGCAGCAGGGGATGGCCAGAAATGAAGGGAGCTTGCATCCACTGGGCACAACTGAGTCTTCCACGCCATGAGAGCTCATGGAGTCAGCCTTTTCCGTGCCCCAGTTGGGAACTGAGGTGTGTTGATTGGGGCACTAGGAACAATAGCCTGCCAGCTGTGGCTTGGCCATCCCCTCTGCCACCACTTTCCTGCCCATCAGCCCTTTTCCCTAGAGTCCCTCCTTCAGCCAGGTCCTGAAAAGTCACACCTTTTGGCCAAGCTGCTGAAAATACCACTCAGCCAGAACTCGTGCTCATGCCAGCCTCATTCATGAAACTCCCAAACCAGAAATAGCCCAGGAGCCCATTAACAGATTCATGGGAAAATGTATTGCAGTCTATTCCATCACTGGACTCTTATGCAGCAGTGAAGACTGTATCCCATCACTGGACTCTTACGCAGCAGTGAAGACAGGAATCCCATCACTGGACTCTTACGCAGCAGTGAAGACAGGTGAATTGCAATCTTTTCCATCACTGGACTCTTATGCAGCAGTGAAGACCGTATCCCATCACTGGAATCTTACGCAGCAGTGAAACAGTATCCCATCACTGGACTCTTACGCAGCAGTGAAGACAGTATCCCATCACTGGACTCTAACGCAGCAGTGAAGACAGTATCCCATCACTGGACTCTTACGCAGCAGTGAAGACAGTATCCCATCACTGGACTGTTATGCAGCAGTGAAGACAGTATCCCATCACTGGACTCTTACGCAGCAGTGAAGACAGTATCCCATCACAGGACTCTTACGCAGCAGTGAAGACAGGTGAATTGCAGTTATGCATAGCACGGATGCCTCTCTCAAACAATCACGTTGAACAGAAGTGGCCAGGCTAGATTCTGTGTGATCCTGTGTGGATCACAAACATGCAACATAAAGGATAGTGTTTGGGGGTAGATGTTGAGGGAGAGAAGGGGGTTCTCTTCATCACAATGGTGGCTGGCCTCTAGGAAGGGAGGGACAGCGGCTGGGAGGCCAGGGGCCTCTGGGATGCTGAAAAAATTCTTTTTCTTCTTCTTCCTCTTTTTTTTGAAATGGAGACTCACTGTGTGGCCCAGGCTAGAGTGCAGTGGTGGGACCTCAGCTCACTGCAACCTCCGCCTCCCGGTTCAAGTGATTCTCCTGCCTCAGCCTCCCGAGTAGCTGGAATTACACGTGCCTGCCACCATGCCTGGCTAATTTTTCGTATTTTTAGTAGAGACAGGGTTTTGCCATGTTGGCTAGGCTAGTCTTGAACTCCTGACCTTAGGTGATCTGCCCACCTTGGCCTCCCAAAGGGCTGGGATTACAGGCATAAGCCACCGCACCCAGCCCAGAATGGTTAATTTTATGTTACGTGAATTTCACTCAATTAAAAAAAGACAGGAAGGGGAGAGAAAGAAAGAAAAGGTAGAGAACAGCAGGGGCCCAGGGGAGTCAGGGTGCCTGCCTGTGAGTGTCCCCAGCAGCCCACCTCTCCTTCCCACTTCCCCTACCTGCAGGCCCTGGAAGCACAGGGCTGTCCCCTGGAGAAGTCCGGAGTGACTTTTAAAACACAGACGTGGGGACCCATCTGATTCTGAGTTTCTGGCCAGCAGCGCTCTGTGTGGGTTAGAAGTTGCATTGTCTCAGGACAGAAACAAAGTCCAGCTAATACCTGTCAAGGCCCGGCCTCTTGCCAGGACCTTGGCCCAACTTTCTCCTTCACTCCTCCCAAAGGCTCTGGGAAGCAGGGTACTTACTGATGGTAAGAAATGAAGCTCAGAGAGTTTCAGCGCCAAACTCAGCATCGCACCCCCAGAGCACAGGAGGGCACGGGACTCACAGCACCAGAGCATGAGGGGACAGGGGTCTCACAGCACCGGAGCATGGGAGGACGCGGGACTCACACCCTCAGAGAACGGGAGGAAACGGGACTCACAGCCCCGGAGCACGGGGGGATACGGGACTCACAGCCCCGGAGCACGGGGGGACACGGGACTCACAGCCCCTGAGCACGGGGATACTGACTCACAGCCCCGGAGCACGGGGGACACGGGACTACAGCCCCGAGCACGGGGACACGGGACCTGCCACAGCCCCGGAGGGGACACGGGACTCACAGCCCCGAGGTGACACGGGATCACAGCCCCGGAGCACGGGGGACATGGACTACAGCCCCCGGAGCACGGGGACATGGACTCAGCAGCCCCGAGCACGGGGACACGGGACTCACAGCCCCGAGCACGGGGGGACACGGGACTCACAGCCCCGGGAGCACGGGGGACACGGGATCACAGCTCCCGGAGCACGGGGACATGACTCACAGCCTCGGAGCACGGGGACACGGACTCGCTCAGCCCCGGAGCACGGGGGACACGGACTCAGCCCCGGAGCACGGGGGGACACGGGACTCACAGCCCCGGAGCACGGGGGGATACGGGACTCACACCCCTGGAATATGCGGGGACGCGGGACTCACACCCCCGAAGCATGGGCGACGGGGGACTCACAGCACATCTTTAACTCCTAATCCCAGCTACTTGGGAGGCTGAGGCAGGAGAATTGTTTGAACCCGGGAGGCAGAGGTTGCAGTGAGCCGAGATCGTTCCCCTGCCCTCCAGCCTGGGTGACAGAGCAAGACTCTTCGATCATTTCCCTTTACTCCACGGCTACTTTGGTTTTTCTTTTTTTTTTTTTTTGAGATGGAGGGCTGGAGTACAGTGGTACGATCTCCGCTCACTTCAACCTCCGCCTTTTTTTGTATTTTTAGTAGAGAGAGGCCTAGAAGGCTCAGCTGCAGCCACCTGCCCCACAGGGCATTCCTGGCCCAGAAAGGGTAAAATCAGACACTCAACTCATTCAGCTGAGTGGCTTGTCCCAGGTCTGCTGTAACAAGTGACCACCAATGGGAGGCTTAAAGCAACAGAAGCCGGCTGGGCCCAGTGGCTGCACCTGCAATCCCAGCGCTTGGGAGGCCGAGGCGGGAGGATCGCTTGAAGCCAGGAGTTCAAGCTTGAAGCCGGGGCTGGGCAGCATAGTGATACCCCCATCTCTAAAAAAAGATGGTACACACCTGTAGTTCCAGCTACTCTGGAGGCTGAGGCGGGAGGCTTGCTTCAGTCCAGGAAGTCAAGGCTATAGTGAGCCGTGATTGCGCCACTGCACTCCAACCTGGGCAAGAGAGTGACAGCTTGTCTCGAACAACAATAATGACAACAAAAACACCCAGAAACATATCGCCTCACAGTTCCGTAGGCCAGATGTCTGATAGCAGAGTCATAAAGTAGAAACCAAGGCATGGGCAGGGCCGCAGGCTGCAGGGGAGGCTCCCACTGCCTCTTCCAGCTTCCCAGGCCCCAGGCATCCATGGCTCCCGCGCCTTGAGGCTGCATTGCTCCCGCTCTGCCTCTGTGGTCCCACGCCTCTCCTCTTCCATCTGTGTCCAATCTCCCTCTGCCTCCCTCTTAGGAGAACTCATGGTCACATCGGGTCTGTCCAGATGCTCCCTTTCTCTCCATCTTTAACTCAATCATGTCTGCAAAGACCTTTCACACGCAGTCACGTTCACAGGGTTAGGGTTAGGGACGTGGATGTCTTTTAGGGGCCATTTTCAGTGGCCACAGCAAGTGTGAGTGAGGGGACCAGGCCCTGGTTTCTGAGCCCCTGTGGTGTGCTCAGTCCCTATGAGGTTATAGGTAAGAATAGTGGACCCCAGCGTGGAACCTGTTTCCGTGTCTCTTTTTCTCCCTCTAAGGCAGCACAGGCAGCCCCGCTGTGCCCTCCCAAGCAGGTGAGGCTGGCTGAGCCCTCTGGGTTTCTCCATCCTTGCCTGTAAGTAGGGCTGAAAACAGCTCTTTTACCCAGGTGCTAGGAAAGGAGATGCTGCGTGTAAAGTGACTGGCGGCTGCCTGGCCTGGTGGTAAAGCTCCTGGAAATGGGTGACTGCATGAATCCAGGCTCACACAGCTCGAAAATACTACTGGAGAATGGGTCATTTATGAAGAAAGGTTTAATTGGCTCACAGTTAGTTCCACAGGCTGTGTAGGAAGCGTGGCTGGGAGTCCTCAGGAAACTCACGATCATGGTGGAAGAGGAAGGGGAAGCGGGCACGTCCTCACATGGTGGCTGGAGAGAGACAGAGAGAGCACGAGGCGGGAGGCGCCATGTACTTTAAAACCATCAGATCTCGCGAGAACTCACTGTCGTGAGAACAGCGAGGTGGAAACCGCCCGAGATTAGTCACCTCCCACCAGGCCCCTCCCCCGACCGTGGGAATGACAATTCAACACGAGACGGGGCGACACAGACCCAGACCACATCAGTGGCTTTCAGGAGATGTGAGTAGAAATGCAGATGCGGCCCCCTTGGGAGAAAGTGTCTGCGGGAAGCGCTCTGTGAACTCTGCGGTACTCACCACGGGCTGGGTGCGTTTTCAGCGGGGGCGGCAGGACCTTGGGGATGGGGCCACACTCTGGGGAAGCCTGTGTGGGGGAGTGAGCCCCGCTCTGTCTGGGCATAGGCAGCCCCAGCACCGCGGAGGCCGTTCCTTAGGTCCGGACGCGGGCACAGTCAGGCGTGAATTCTGGGCCCTGAGCTGGGGCCATCATCTCCTTCCCTCTGAGAGCGAGCACAGGGGCCATGGCAGGTGCCGCTAGAGTGCTGTGCTGTGCCGCGTGCCCTCAGAGCTTGGGGACCTTCCACTGAGCTGTGTGAGTCTCCGTCCTGGGCTCTGTGGGGACCAGGATGATAATAAGATGAGGATCAGTGGCTTCCAGGAGCCCCAGTCTTAGAGGTGGAGCCAAAGAGCTGTGGGGGGCGGGGGAGGGACCAGGGAGAGGGGTGGGGGAGAGGCCAGGGGTGTGGAGGGGCCATGGGGTGGGCAGAGGGGGTGGGGATGGGGTGGGAGGCATGGAGGGGGCAGGGGACAGTGGAAGGGCCACTGGAGCCAGATTAAGATAGAGGGGAGGTGTTAAGACTCGGAGCCGAAAATACTGGGAATTAAGGCGAAATTCTGCTAAAAGTTTATGGTAACACACTGGGATGGGGGCCGGGTGCAGTGGCTCATGCCTGTAATCCCAGCACTTTGGGAGGCTGAGGCAGGAGCATCACTTGAGGTCAGGAGTTCAAGACCAGCCTGGCCAACATGGCAAAACTCCATCTCTACTAAAAACAAAAAATTAGCCAGGCATGGTGGTGCGTGCCTCTAATCCCAGCTACTTGGGAGGCTGAGGCAGGAGGATCGCTTGAACCCTGGAGGCAGAGGTTGGAGTGAGCCAAGATTGCCTCACTGTACTGCACTCCAGCCTGGGTAACAAGAGTGAAACTTCATCTTAAAAAAAAAAAAAAAAGCCGAAAATGCTGGGAATTAAGGCAAAATTCTGCTAAAAGGTTATGGTATCACCCGGGATGGGAAAAGTCAGGTGTGCAGGAGGACGAGGCCCAAGGGAGAGAGGTGTCCCTGGAAAGATGACTGGGGGTCCTTGACAAGGCTGGAAGAATGGGGCTGTGGGGAAGGGGGGTGGCCTGTGGCTCAGACAAGGGTTCCCTGGTGGAGGGTTGGAGGCTGGGGGAGGGAGCGGGGAGGCTGTAGGGGAAGAGGTGGCGTGGCTCAGGCAAGTCCCTGGTACAGAGGAGTTGGAGGCTTTGGGAGGAAGCGCAGAGAGAGCTGTAGGAAGAGGTAGCCCGTAGCTCAGACAGGAAGTTCCCTGGTGGAAGTTGGGAGGCTGGGGAGGGGAGTGGGGGAGGCTGTAGGGAAGGAGTGGCCGTGGCTCAGACAGGGGTTCCCTGGTGGAGGTTGGAAGGCGCTAGAGAGAGAGAGGCAGAGGAGCTGTAGGGAAGAGGGTGGCCTGTGGCTCAGGCAGAAGTTCCCTGGTGGAGGTTGGAGGCTGGGAGGGGCGGGAGGCTGGGGCTGCGGGGGCCACCCTCCCAGGCCTTTAACACCAACATGGAGAAGCTCCTTTCCCTGGTGGAGGGTTGGAGGCTGGGGGAGGGAGCGGGGAGGCTGGGAGCTGCGGGGCCTCCCTCCAGGCCTTTGGCACCAGCATGGAGGGGCTCGGGCCAGCCCTGGAAGGGGAGTCGTTTGTCCCTCCCTCCCTGGCTCCCAGCTGCCCACTGCCCATCCCTGCTCAAGAGAGGAGGCGGGAAGGCTGTGTTAGGGAGGCCCAGCTGGGCTGGGGTTGGGCGGGGCCGAGGCTGCTGCTGGGGGTCTTCAGATGAGGATGCAAATGCTCCCAGGGGCCTGGCTGAGGCGGTGGGACCAGCAGGAGGAGTAGGAGGGAGGGTTGGGAACAGAGACTAGGTCCCAAAGATACAAGGCAAGGGCAGGGGCCTGGTGTGAACTCACCCATAACCTCCAGGTTCGAGTCTCTCCTCCTGGGTGCTCCAGACCTGACCCTTGTTCTTCCCTTGGGACCCCACTGGCAAAAGGGACTTTGCAGATATGAGTGAATTAAGGATCAGGAGAGGGCAGATGACCCTGGATTATCCGGGTGGGTCCCCCTGAACCACAAGGGTCCTCCTAAGAGGCGGGCAGCAGGTCAGAGAAGAGAGGAGAGGCTGCCCTGCTGGCTCTGAAGACGGAGGCGGGGCTGAGAGCCAAGGAACACAGGCGGCCTCTGGAAGCTGGGAAAGGGGAGGAACAGATGCTCCCCGGAGCCCTTCCAGGAGGAAGCAGCCGTGTCCACACCTCAGTCTTAGCCCTGAGAAACCTGTGCCAGCTTTTGGCCTGCGGAACCGTGAGAGGATGAAGCTGTGTGGTTTCAAGCCACTAACTCTGGGGTCTTTTGTTCCAGCAGCCACAGGACCCTCGTCCAGGGACCAGCACCCCAGCCTGCCCGGGGCTCCCTGGTGACCTGCCCGGGCTCCCACCTCTCCGCTAGCTGGGGCTTGTAAACATTTTATACTTGTGACGAGGCCACCAGCAAACACGGAGGCCTTCCTCCGGCGCTGGCCCAGCGATGAACCTGGGTTGATGTCCTCAGGCAACTGGGGTGTTCACGGAAGCAATAACATCTCTGTCATTTTTTTCCAGACCTCACTGAAGATCCCCTGCCCCAGGCTCAAGTCAGAGAGAGAAGAGATCACAGTACTGGAATTCCAACTGGGCATCCGTCCCAGCTCTGCACTGAGTGCGTTCAGCCCCGGCTGGAGCTTGCAGACGGCAGCCCTGCAGGAACCTACCAGGGCTGACTCCCTCCTCCCCAGATCCCACAGAACAACAGTGGATCTCCACTCGGCACGTGTCCCCTCCACGTTCACATGAAGTGTCTTTTAGCGAAAGTGTATAAACGTGTTAATTTTGGTTACTGCACTGAAGTGAGGCAAGTTCCTGCAGCTTTATTAAATGACCAATACTGTCACTCCCGAGTGTGAAATTAACTCACTCTTCATGGCAGGTTTGAGGGAGGCAGAGAAAACTTCTCTCACCTGAAACCGTGGCTTTGAGAAAAATAAAGTCGCAACGACCGTGGCTCTGGGGAGCACGATCCGAATGAAGGACTTGGCGAAATGTTTCCTCTTAGTGGCATCTGTGATGCCAGGTCTGTGAAGAGCCCAGGGAGCCCGGCTGGCACCACCTCTGTGGCGTCCGGTGGGCCTCTGGCCACACTGTGTCATGGGAGAAAGGGCCACCATGCAGCTGGGTCTTGGAGGAGCCTCCCCGCTGCTGTCAGAGGTGCAGTGTGTGCTTAAGTAGAAAGAACCTTGGTGCAAAGCTGTGAGGCCCGGAGCTCGGTTTCTGCCCCTGCTGTCACAAATGACCACCAACCGGGAGGTGGGAGGCTTAAAACAACAGACATTTATTCTCTCACAGCTCTGGAGGCCACAAATCTGAAACCAAGGGGTCTCAGGGCTGCCCTTCCTGCAGGGCTCAGGGAGGCCCCTTCCTGCCTCTCCAGCTCCTGGCTGGTGGCTTCCTCGCTCTCCATTTTCACACAGCCCCTCCTCTGTGTCTCTCTCTCCCTCTGCTTGTAAGGACATAAGCCATAGTGGCCCAGGGCTGTGACCCTTCATCTTACCTTCATCACCTCTGCAAAGACCTGGGCTCCACACTCACAGGTCCTGGGGCTAGGGACACAGCTCAACCTACAACAGCTTCTACATGAGGGGCTTTCAGAGGAAGAGTGCCCCAGTCCCTCTGTCCTGAGCAGGGTTGGGATATGGAGGATTTAGATGGGAAGGGCACTGCAGCTGCTTGGAACAGCCCACAGGTGGAGGCATGCGTCAGGAGGAGCAGGGCCCTGAGGACCCAGTGGGCGTGGAAGGTCATGTGTGGGACAGTGTGTCTTCCAGCGGGTTCAGGAGTTGGGGGCTGGGAGCCACAGAGCCAGCAGGTGTGACCAGGGACAAGCGTGTTGCGGGGGGAGACAGGCCAGAGGACCAGCGAGGCCAGGCTTCCCAGCGGTGGGGCCCCTGAACAAGGTTGTATCCCTGTGGGAGGCAGAGGGCTTTTCCAGCCTTCAGTTCAGGAACAATGACACGAAGCCCTGAGAAGGAGGAGCTCAGCCGGGAGCGGAAGGAGCTGGGCTCAAGCCCAGGGTTCAGTTCTACCAAACCCAGTCCGGAGCTGGCACCTGTCAGCAGCCAAGGAGCACATTAAAAAATGTGACGAGGCCGGGTGCTGGCGCATACCTGTAAACACAGCACTTTGGGAGACTGAGGTGGGAGGATTGCATGAAGTCAGGAATTCAAGACCAGCCTGGACAACACAGTGAGACACCCATCTCTGCAAAAATAAAAAAAAAAAAAATTAGGCCTGGCATGGTGGCTCATGCCTGTAATCCCAGCAATTTATGAGGCCAAAACAGGTGAATTACTTGAGGTTAGAAGTTCAAGACCAGCCTCACCAACATGGTGAAAATTCATTTCAACTCAAAAAAAAAAAAAAATTACCCAGGCATGGTGATGCGTGCCGGTAATCCCAGCTACTCAGGAGGCTGAGGCAGGAGAACCTGGGAGGTGGAGGTTGCAGTGAGCCAAGATTGCGCCACTGCACTCCAGCCTGGGCAACAGAGTGATTAGCTGGGTTTGGTGGTGCACACCTGTAGTCCCAGCCACTCAGGAGGCTGAGGCGGGAGGATGGCTTGAGTCCTGGAATTTGAGGTGTCAGTGAGCTGAGATCACACCACTGCACTCCACCCTCACTCCAGGGTGACAGGGTGAGGCCCTGTCTCAAAAAGTAAATAAATAAATAAGTAAATGAAAAATAAAAATGTGGCGAGACGAGGTGTCCACTGATGAGTGAACGGAAAAACGAAATGGGGTCCATCTGTGCCTGGAAAATTCTTCAGCCATAAAAAGGAGCAGAGGCCGGGCACGGTGGCTCTTGCCTGCAATCCCAGCACTTTGGGAGTCCGAGGCAGGCAGATCACGAGGTCAGGAGATCAAGACCATCCTGGCTAACACAGTGAAACCCCGTCTCTACTAAAAAATACAAAAAATTAGCTGGGCATGGTGGCGGGCGCCTGTAGTCCCAGCTACTCAGGAGGCTGAGGCAGGAGAATGGCGTGAACCCGGGAGGTGGAGCTTGCAGTGAGCCGAGATCGCGCCACTGCACTCCAGCCTGGGAAACAGAGCAAGACTCCATCTCCAAAAAAAAAAAAAAAAAAAAAAAAAAGGAGCGGAGCCCCGACACAGGCTCCATAGGGACGAACCTTGAGACCCTTCTGCAGAGTGAAAGAAGCTGGTCACAAGAGGCTGCACGCGTGTGCCCCTGTGTCTCTGGAACACCCACAACAGGACAACAGGCAAACCCACAGCAGGGAGGAGGACTGGGGGTGTCTGGGCTGGGGAGGGGGAGAGGCAGGCGGCTGCTAATGGGGTGGGTTTTTTTTTTTTGAGACGGAGTCTCTGTCGCCCAAGCTGGAGTGCAGTGGCACGATCTCAGCTCACGGCAACCTCCACCTCCTGGGTCCAGGCGATTCTCCTGCCTCAGCCTCCCAAGTAGCTGGGATTATAGGCCCGCACTACCACACCCAGCTAATTTTTGTATTTTTAGTAGAGGTGGGGTTTCACCATGTTGGCCAGGCTGGTCTCAAACTCCTGACCTCAGGTGATCCACCTGCCTCGGCCTCCCAAAGTGCCGGAGTTACAGGCTGGAGCCGCTGTGCCTGGCCTGAATACGCATTTTGAAAGAGTCTCGGCCAGGCAGAGTGGCTCATGCCTGTAACCTCATCTACTTGGGAGGCTGAGGCAGGAGAATTACTTGAACCTGGGAGGTGGAGGTTGCAATGAGCCCAGATTGTACCACTGCACTCCAGCCTGGGCGACAGAGACTCTTAAATAAATAAATAAAAGAGGGTTTCATTTGCATAATTTCAGGCAATGATGAGCAGAGCCCTCTGAAGGTCGTTGTCCCCGGGCAGTCTCTCATCTGAGCTGGGCTCCAAGCCCGGACTGTCCTCTCCCGGGAGCTCCTCAGGCTCCGTGTTCTCATGGGCCAAGTTGGCCGTCAGACTGCCTGAGTCCCCGGGACTCTGAGTCCAGCAGAAAGGAGGAGATGGTGTCCACGCCCATTTCCTCTTCTTTCCTCCAGGCTCACTGTAGCCTGGCCTTGGTGCCTGGCCGCTTCCTCCCGGACACACTGCTCCAGAAAGGAGCCCAAGGCCAACCTTCTGCCTGGGGGCCACTGTGCCATCCGTGGGCCACGTGGGCTGCTCCAGAGGGCGAGGTCCCCGACCTCCCTGGGTCAGTCAGAGCTGGCTGTGCTTTGCCTGTTCGGTGGTAGAGCTGCACCGTGCCGGGGGCGGAGGTGTGCACAGGAGGAGGCTCCTGCTGTTGGAGCAGAGTTGGGGTTGGGGTGGGGGCCACCCTCTCCCCTGGCCTGGCCTGGAAGGAGGGAACAGGCATGTGTGACTTCCGGAAGATGGCAATGAGCACGGAGCAGAAGGAGACCAAAGGCCTGCCTGCACCTCCCATGTTTTGGGGAGACGTAGGGGCATTGTGTGTGTTCAGGAAGTGTGAGGTTCCTGTCTTCCCTGACAGCAGGGGCTCGGATCAGGAGCCAGGGGTAGGAGCGCAGACCTCAGGGGGAGACAACCAACCTTCACTCCCTCTGTGTTCTCTGGGCCTGTTCCCAGGTCAGAGGACTGTGCCAGGGAGGCACCCGCACAGTTGGGCTTAGCCACAACTAAGTTTTGATTGAAGGCTCCTCCCAGGCGCTCACCCTCTTAACCCTCTCGAGTGAGCCCCGCTGGGTGCCTGAGCTGCAGGAACCTGCAAAACACCTTTGTCCCTCCCAGGCGTCAGACTGACTTCAGCGTTTCTTGTTGCTATTTTGTTTTGTTTTGTTTTTGAGATGGAGTTTCACTCTGTCCCCAGGCTGGAGTACAGTGGCACGGTCTCAGTTCACTGCAACCTTTGCCTCCCAGGTTTAAGTGATTTTTCTGCCTCGGCCTCCCGCGTAGCTGGTATTCTGGGTGTGCATCAGCACGCCCAACTAAGTTTTGTATTTTTAGTAGAGACGGGGTTTCACCATGTTGGTCAGGATGGTCTTGATCTCTTGACCTCGTGATCTGCCTGCCTCAGCCTCCCAAAGTGTTGGGATTACAGGCATGAGCCACTGCGCCCGGCCTCTTGTTGCTGTTTAGAGGAGGATTTGCCTGAGAACTAAATCACTTACAATCTGACACAGATCAGAAGTGACTGCCAGTGTTTCTGACCGAGACTTAAATAATCAGAGTCCTCTGATGTTTGTGCTGCAGCTGAAGCAACACGATGTTTCCTTTTGTGAAATTAACTCTGAAATGGCCCCACATTTAAAGAAGTAACTTTATTCCGCTTTGGTATTTCAGCTCATTTTGAAACCCAACCGTGGTCTCCTCTCTTTGCCATGTGAATTGTCCATGGATTCCGGCTGAAAGTGGTGGATCCTGGCTGGCGGGTGCAAGTGCACTACAGTTAGAGCTGGCGGCAGTCCTGCCCCATGCAGCCACTGCCGGCGCTCGGGATTTAACCACTTGGACCCTCTGTTTCCTCCTCAATAAGACAAAGATGGCACCAGAAGGGTTAAGATTGGAACAGACTTTCCTCAACTCTGATCCATGGAACTGTGTGTTGGTGCCAATGTTTTCATTGGTGTGCAGTGAAATGAGGAAAAGGAGTGCCAAGTGGAATAAACCATTTCATGTGGGCCGGGTGCGGTGGCTCACACCTGTGATCCCAGCTCTTTGGGAGGCCAAGGCGGGTGGATCGCTTGAGCCGGGGAGTTTGAGACCAGCCTGGGCAACATAGGGAGACCTTGTTTCTATTTAAAAAAAAAACAACTTTCATGTAAAAGGCTTTTTGTTCAGATATTATGCCATCCTACTGTACTTGGTGCCAAAAAGGTGCTTTGATGAAATGTTGAGATTGTTAAGCAAT